TCACGCATTCCTTTGATGTTGTGTGATAATAAAAGTGCTCTTCAAATGACTAAGAGTCCTGTGTTTCATGCCCGTTTTAAGCATATCGAACTAGACTTCCATTTCATTCGAGAAAAAAATTTCTCAAGGTCTTCTTTCTACATGATATGTTCCTACAACTCGTCAAATTGCGGACATTTTCACCAAACCTCTTGCCCGAGCTTCATTCACTCTGTTTCGATACAAGCTGGGAGTTCACTTCATGACTCTCACAAGGGGGGATGATAAGAATAATGACCAGAAACCAATTTTAAATGAATTAGTTAAACCTCTTTAATATTCTTATCACTCCTGCTGTTGGATTCCACTTTCCATGTCCACTGGTTTAAACTTTATTAAAATACTTAAATTATCTTGTGCCTGAAGCAAAATTGCCATGCATGCATATGTTTGGCGATTTTCGCTCTTACTGCTCAGAAATATAGACGGTACGAAACTAAACTTGAAAATACTAAGAAATAATTTTTTGTTGAGTAATTCTATTGGTACATCTTGATTTATGGATTAAATTATAGAACGATGACATAGAAGAAAGAAAGAGAAAAAAAATAGAGAATGAAAAAAGGTAAGTTATTATAATTCACATCATCAATCTATTAATTATGATGTACAAATACACACATATATATATAAACACACACACACACACAAAAAACACTCTGGTAATAGTATAGTCCAATCCAATCTAATAAAAGAAGTGTCTAATTAAAATAAAATATTTTTTTTTTCAACAATTTAAATTTAACCGTGTAAACAGAATCATCTAGTTCTTTCGTTTGCAATGGTTTAAGTCGTTTTCGTTCTTAAAATTCTTTTTTCTTTTTATCATTTTGTTATTTTAGATTAAGAAAAAGTCTTTTTCTTTTGTTTTATTTTCTTAAATGTAATTAGAAGTGAATAATGCACGGACAAAAATGCTTTTAAGAAATAAGGCATGTGCAAGGCAAAGGTTCAGTGTCCTGACATATTCTCAATACATTGGGGACCATTTCTTGAACATGGTTGTCTTGAATTCTTTTCTATAAATTTCAATTGCCATAGAATAATTGGATAATTGTCGCTCTTGTATTTTTTTTTTTCTGGAAATTTCGATGGCCATAGAATAGTTTGGTAATTGTCGTTCTCATAAGTAGGACCGGCGAAAACAAAGGCATCAATTTGAAAAACGTGTTCTTATTTGGTGGGAATTCAAATCAGCTTTTAGTAGATTTTGATAAAAGTTAATAAAATGTATGGTTGAAAAGTTATTGATCTTGGTTAAAATTAATTTTTTTCTTTGACTTACAGTAAAATTGAATTTTAATACCTACCAATCATGGACTATATCATATGACATCATTCAAGCAGACTCTGGAACCTGATATAAAGTGATACAAGGATGGGTTCTTCCATTCACTGCATTTTTCTTTAATCTTTCCCTCTTTCCGATTATATCTCTCACGAAAATGGAGTTCTCCATGAGGTTTCTTGCAGTGATGTCCCTCTTGCTGTTGGTTTCCATGTCCACTGGTTTGAACTTTATTGAACTCCCTACCCAACTTCGTGAATTATCTCGTGTCTGAATCAAAATTGCCATGCATGCATATGTTTAGGATTTTCACTCTTATTGCTCTGAAAAGTAGACCTTACAACATTAAACTCGACAATATTAAGAAAGAAAAAGAAATGATAATATTTTTCTAGCCGATCTTATGTTGTTTACATGTTAATTAAGCAGAGATGGGAGGTCCTCTAATGGCAGATGCAACGTGTGACTGGGACCTTTGTGATAGAGGGTGCCAGCTTCTGGATTACAAACGAGGATGTTGCGAACTGTATCCAGGCTGCAGTTATTGTGTTTGCTCCGACGAAGAAATATGCCTGCGTAAGACACACCTCTCAATTAATCTACATACTAACAAAAACTGTAGTTAATTTACTCTGAAGTAAATAAGTAACATTTTTATTGATTAATATAAGTAGCTAAGGTAAGATTTTTTTTTTATAACTTTTATCCTTTTCCTTTTTTGAGTTACTTTCAAAATAATTAAATTATTTAAACATTTTTTAAACAGAATGTAGTGCTTAATTATTTTAAAACTGTGAATATAAGTAGTGTTCGATTTATTGCAGTACGCACCACAATGGAAATAAAAGTTGGTGAGAAGACTGTGATGATTGCGGCAACACCCAAAAAGTCTTTCATCAAGGAGCCAGTTGCTTGATTCTGCATGGATATTTAAAATAAATATTCTGTTTGAAGACTGTGTCTTTAAGAATAAATTGTAGATCTCTCATCATGGAGACTACATCGTGTAAGTCAAACATGTTTGACATACATGTACTGTGTTAAAACTATATTGAATGAATGTATTGTGAAATAATTAATGTTGTTTTCTTTTGTCTCCTGATTACAATTTTGATTTTACCAAATTAATTATTAAATACTAGTCACCCTTTGGCCTTTGCCTGGCATCGAAGGGTGACAAAAGTGGAAAGATTCATAACCCTTTGCTCGGCTTGGATGGCCGGCAAAAATGAAAAGATTCATATCATTCAGCTACTCATGTATTCACTATTATATCTAATCATCTTTTCGACTCGTGCCACAATTCGCTAAATCATGCTCATGCGATTCTCATTTATGTAACTATAGGACATATTACGCAAATCTTGTGAGGCATGCTTGGCAAGGGACAATCATTGCCACCGGTCCAAAATTAAGTCATGCTAGCTCGACACCACCCGACTTAAAATTCTTAATAGGAGTGTTATTTTATGCGCAAAGAATGTTTTCGCGAAAAATAGTATAAAATAATTAATAAGGTGCACGAATAAATTTGTACATGGTTGGGCCGTAGAATATTGAGATTTAAAATTGTCTAAATAGCACTTACGGTGTGCTGTACTCACGTTCGTTTTTCCCTAGTCCTAGTACTTTATCCTTCATCTTTTTTCAATAAAATTCTAGCATCTTATGATAATTATAGGAAATAATTACTTAAAAATATAACAACTGCATAACTTTTTCATTTTTTTATTTTTGGTACTCTTAAACTTATGATAGTTATAAATATTTGAAAGAGGGCCCACGAATATTTTATTGTGTGTGGGCCCCCTCCATGTGAGGGAGGTGTAAAGCCGTGTGTACACCATTGTGTACACGTAGCATCTCCCTAAATATTTACCTAAAATTATAAAAAAGAAGGAAAAAACAAAGGAATAGTAAAATAAAAAATAAAAAACAAGAATAAGGCAAAAATGGTAGAGTTGCAAGAAGGACAATGCAATGTAGATAGCTCAAAACTCTAAACATGTGATACTCATTCATATAAATATGTGGGAGAAAAAACTATCCTTATCTCAATGATGTACGATATTCAGAAATTAATGTATGATATAATATGTCATACAATTCAATTGAAAATTTCCTTCAAAACAATTTAGATTTTGACAAAAAAAAAAACAAAAAAACAATAATTTTAATGAGTGGATACTGTGAGCACATTTTGTCTCTTTAAGAATGTTTTCTATGTACTTATTTAACCAATATGTTATTTAATTAAGTGATATTATCAAATAATAAATTAGTTTATCGATATAATCCCATACATATCTTTTAGAAAATGGAGAGAGAAAGCATATCTCCAATAGCCTCTCACCTTAAATTCGAGAATGGTACTTCGTAAATTGATATATTACTGTTACAATTGATAATCACATTCAATCTTCCCATAATCCTTAAAATCACGCATGAGATGTAATCAATATAATCAAATTCAAACGAAAAATACCTAATTTTTCATTTTGCTACCCACATTTGCCTGTGTTTTCCAAAGCTCCATCACCAAATCTCATCCGATTATCGATTTCTTAGCTTGGAAAATTATTACTGCCATGACTATCTTTTTTCCTAAATGGTCTAACACTTTATCTTATCTGTTATATATAACCATGGTCTATGTTATGCGTTGGTACAATGTTTTGACAAAATATTCTATCTTTTAATCTTTCTTTCTTAGACTAATTTGAACCCCTTTTTAAACTTAAATTTCAACATTGTGAAGAGACATTTTGATTTTGATTTTTATTCTGTTTAATTTGGAGAGTTTAAAGGGTATGCACGTTTAATTTGGAGAGTTTTATTCTGTTTAAAGTATGTACATATAAATATTTTTACGCCAAACATATTGCACATCAAGAAGTTAAAAACATAAGATTGCGTAAAAAAATGAAATATAAATATTAGAATTAAATCAATCCTCTCTTTTTGCATGTGTATAGTTAGTTGGTTGGTTTGTTAATTAGTTTACTTCCTCTAGCTGGTAATTGGTTAGCAAAGCCAGCATTTTCTTTCACCTTTTTCTGTCTATTTATATATGCATTGTAAATTCATTTGCAATTAAATCTTTCTAATGAAATAAATACAATCAGGGCAATTCCCCTCTTTCTATTTTATTATGGTATTAGAGCAAAATATTCATGACTTTCCTCATCACCTTCATTGATTTCATTCTTCTTTCACTTTCGATTTTCATTCACCATGGGATCATCACATCTGGAGGACGATTCTGGTTCGAGGTCTTCAATCAGTAGAATCACCATTGATGAACCTTCCAGTCCATTTTTTTTACATCATTCGGACAGTCTAGGTCTAATGCTCGTTTCTCAGCAACTCACGGGAGATAACTAGGCCTCTTGGAGTCGTGCAATGATAAGTACATTATTAGTTACAAAACAAGTTGTCCTTCATTGATGGATCTATTGAAAGACTGGAAGCTGCAGATTCTAGTTAATTCATGGAACCGGAATAACAATATGGTGATATCTTGGATCCTCAATTTAGTATCAAAAGACATCTCCGCCAGCTTGATCTATGCAACGACATATGAAATCTAGAATGATCTTAAGGAGAGGTATCTGTAGACTAATGGACCAAGAATATTCTAGTTAAGGAAGGAATTGATGAACCTTAGCCAAGATTAAAACACTGTCAGTATGTATTTCACTAAACTCAAAACCACATGGGAGGGATTGAGTAATTTTTGATCTAGTTGTAGATGTGGTAAATGTTCTTGCGAAGGTGTTAAGGAGCTGAATAACCAATACCAGATGGGATACATTACGTCATTCCTTACGGAGCTGAATGACTCATTTTCTCAAGCTACGGGGCAAATATTACTAATGGATCCTTTACCTCCTATTGACAAAGTCTTTGCACTGATTTCTCAGGAGGAAAATCAGAGAAAAATAAATGTACAATCCATTGGAGTTGATTCCACTGGAGCTCCTGCCTTTGCTTTTGGAACTGATAACTCCAAAAATGTTATTCATTCCTATCCTCGCAATAACTTTTCAAAAGTCAACACTTCCAATTTTAAAAAGAAGGAACGGCAATATTGTACTCATTGCAAATACCATGGACATTTAGTAGATGAATCTTATAGAATCAATGGTTATCCACCTGGTTATAAGCCAAGGCTTAGAGACAGTTTCCACAATTCATCTACTTCTAATTCTGTTAATCATTTTTCTACCTCTGTTCCTCAATAGGATGTTGGTAAACAAATGGATCAGCAACTTGATATTGGAGATTTTGTGCAGAATTTGAGCTCCAATCAATATCAATAGCTCATGTCAATGCCGTCAACTCACTTAGCTTCAAACGTAAATTGCACTTCAAATGATCAGGGGAACAGTGCCTCTTCAGGTATATGTCATTTTGTATCAATCAATCCTACTTTTGTATCCAATGATCTATGGATAGTAGACTCAGGGGCTACAAACATGTGTGCTGCATTGCTGATGCCTTTGTGAGCTTGAGAACTGTTGGTAATTCAAGCATCACTTTACCTAATCACACACGTATTCGAGTCAACCTTTCTGGAGATATCAGACTTAATTCAAAATTAATACTGCATGATGTTCTATTTGTGCCTCAATTTAAGTTCAATATGTTATCCGTGAAAGCAATAACCAGTGGATCTCAACTTACCTCGAGCTTCTTTTATGATCAGTTCATTATTTAGGAGGGAGCAACCAGGAAGATGATTGGCAGGTGTGATAAAATTCAGGATCTATACATTCTTGATACAAAAAACATTGATTCTGATTATAATACCTTTGTTGGTACTTTGTCTGTCTATAGATGGCATAATAGACTTGGTCATTTATTGTTTAAAAAGTTAGATGTGTTGAATGATCAATTGTTATGTGACTTTGTCAAAATAAATTCAAACCTTCCTTGCTATATATGTCCTCTTGCTAAGCAAAAGATATTATCCTTTGAATCAATCAATAATCTATCTAGCAAAAATATTTGATCTGGTACATTGTGATATATGGGGATCCTATCACGTTCCATCTCATTTAGGTTCTAGATTTTTCCTAACTTTTGTTGATGATTGTTTAAGGTTCACCTGGCTATATATGTTAAAGCATCAGATTGATGCTATAGATGTTGTTCAGTATTTTTTGCTATGGCGGCTACACAATATAATGCTGCCATCAAGAAGTTTAGATCAGATAACGCCAGTAAATTATCCTTCAAAGATTTTTTTTGCTAAAAAGGGAGTGATCCATTAGCTTAGTTATGTTGCAAGACCACAACAATATTATGTAGTTGAACGCAAACATCAACACATTTTGAACGTGGCTCTAGCCTTATTTTTTCAATCCGAAGTGCCTATTAAATTTTGGTCTGAATGTGTAATGACGGCAGCTTATCTCATCACCAAAACTCCATCCCCTCTTTTGCAACGCAAAACCCTTATGAGATATTTCATGGTAGTCCTGCCACTTATTCCTTACTCAAAGTTTTTATGCCTAGTATTTGCCTCCACTCTCACGACTCACAGGAACAAATTCCAACCCAGAGCACAGCCTTATGTGTTCTTGGGATATCCTCTTGACATCAAAGGCTATAAGCTTCTTGATGTAACTTCAAAACAAATTTTTACCTTAAGAGATGTTGTATTTTATAAGGATATCTTTTCATTTCATACTATCATGGAAGCTTACAAAATGTTAGACCCCTTTCCTGATTTAGTCTTACCAATCCCTTCATTATCAACTCATCATGAAGACATAATACAACCAGATATTCCTTTTCATCAAGATGAATCTTCTCCTCATAACTCTCATTATTATGTGCCTCATGTACCTTCACATGCTGTTTCTACTTCTGAGACTCCAGTTGTTATCCCATATAACGGTGTCAACCTTT